TCCCGGTCCCAGTCCTGGTCACCGTAGCATCAGGCCTGACCCCACGTCTCTGCCTTGCAGCCCAGCCCAAGGCCGAGGCGGCGGCAAGCGAGGACAAGGCGCGGCGGCTGACTGACTACTACGATGTGCATGAGGAGATCGGGAGGTGAGGGGATGCCCCAGCCTACTCCTGTGTCCCCGGGGCTGGGGGTCCTGCCCACGCACTGTGGGGGGCAACGTGTGCCCCCCCCGACGGCCGGTGCCTTGCAGAGGGGCCTTCTCCTACCTGCGGCGGGTGACGGAGAAGAGCAGCATGCTGGAGTATGCCGCCAAGTTCATCCCCGGGCGGGCCAAGGCCAAGGCGTCAGCGCGCCGGGAGCTGCACATCCTCTCGCGCCTGGACCACGAGCGCATGGTCTACTTCCACGATGCCTTTGAGAAGAAGAACGCCCTCATCATTGTCATGGAGCTGTATCCTCCATGCTGGGGCAGCTCTGGGAGGGCACTGCTTAAGGGAAGCTTGCAGTGTCGGGAGCCAGGGCGGGCTGTGGCAGCAAACGCGTGCCCCGAACCCGGCAGCACCAGCCCCTGCTGAGGGAGGGTGTGGAGCTGGGGCTGAGCAGGGCACTGCTGTGGGGAAGCTTGCAGTGCGGGGTGCTGTGGAGGGGCTGGGGTCCCTGTGTGGGCACTGCCACAGAGTAACTTACAGCACTGGGTGCGGGGGGCTGCGGCTCTGGGGAGGGGTGGTGCCGCGGGGGGCTGTGCTCCTTGACCGGTGCCAGCTGCGCGGAGGAGGAGCTGCTGGACAGGATGGCCAGGAAGATCGCCGTGTCCGAGTCCGAGGTGAGCCTGGCTGGTGGGGCGGGGACGGGCAGCACTGTGGTGCTGGGGGGCAGCACCAGCCCCGGGCACTACGTGATGCTGCCCCCGCTGCCCCCAGGTTCGCTCCTACATGCGGCAGGTGCTGGAAGGGCTCCGCTACCTGCACCAGTGCGGCATCCTGCACCTCGACATCAAGGTGAGGGCATGGCCCCCGGGTCCCCTGGACCCTGCACCCCCACCCCCTGGCAGCGCGGCGCCTTGGAGGCCGTCGGGCCCAGCCCTGCCCTGACCCTGGCTCTCGCGCGGGGCCGGACACCCGGACCCCCACAGCCATGGCCCTGCACCCCCCACACCAAGCGGCTCCAGGTCCCCAGCGAGCGTCTGGGGCCCCGGTCCGTGCCCCCCGCGTGGACGGCTCTGGGCCCCCCTGACCGGCACCCACCCCGCAGCCTGACAACCTGCTGATGGCCGACCCCAGCAGCGAGCAGGTGCGGATCTGCGACTTCGGGAACGCACAGGAGCTGACGGCGGGCGAGCCGCAGTACTGTGCCTACGGCACGCCCGAGTTCGTGGGGCCCGAGATCGTCAGCCAGAGCCCTGTCTCCCCCGTCACCGATGTCTGGTAACGGCCCCCGGCCGAGCCCCCAGGGTGCTGCCCGCACGAGACCCGCACCACCCCAGCTCCTTGCGGTTGGGGCAGCCGCGTCCTGCCTGGGATGGGGTGGATCCTGCCTCAGGCAGGGCTGGACTGGACGCGGCCCCGCGGCTCCGGGACCCTAGGACACGTCCTGCCACCACTGCTCTGCTTTCCTGGGAGAAACCCCGGCCGCCCTCGCCCCTTGCGGGTGATGGGTCCCGTTTGACCGGGGTCCCTGTCCCTCGCTGCCCCGCGCTGGGTCCCCCGTGGCCTTGGCATGGGCCCGGCCCCGCGGGCGTCTCCCCGCCTTGGCTCCGTGCCACTGCGAACCTTTCCAAGGTGGCACCGAGGCGACGTCCTCTCCAGCCTGACCAGCCCTGTTCTTCTCTCTGCAGGCCTGTCGGGGTCATCACCTACCTGTGGTGAGGCTGGGGGCTGGGGGCTCAGCACTGCGGGGTGGGGGTTGGAGGGATTTGGGGGTCCTGGGTTGGGACGGTCGTGGGGGTTGTTGTGGGGGGGCAGAGTATCAGGGGGTGAGGGGGTTTGGGGGTCATGGGCTAGGCTCCCTGCATTAACCTCAGACCCCTCCAAAATCGTGGGCCGCCCCAGTGCCCCTCGTTCCCATAGAAGCTGCCCCTCTGGGCAGCTGTAGGGGTGCCAGGGACCCCCGCACCACCCTTTAACCCCCTGAGCGTCCTGCGGCGTGGCCCTCACAGCACCCTGTGTCGCGCAGCCTGACCGGGATCTCGCCCTTCGTGGGCGAGAACGACCGCACGACGCTGATGAACATCCGCAACTACAACGTGGCCTTCGAGGAGCGCGGCTTCTGCGGGCTGACGCGCGAGGCCAAGGGCTTCGTCATCAAGGTGCTCGTCAGCGACCGCCTGTGAGTGCCGCCCCCAGCCCCCGGCACGCGGGCAGCTCGGGCACGGGGCCGGGCTAGGCCCTGACTCCAGCCTTCTCCCCTCTGCAGGAGACCCGACGCGGAGCAGACGCTGGAGCACCCCTGGTTCAAGGTGGGTGTGTGGCGGGTGCAGAGATCCCACCTCAGGAACACAGCTGGGTATTCGTATCCCTCCGCTGTTTCCACCACGTGAGGCGGGCCAGTAGGGGGTGCTCCTGCATTGAGCCACCCACCTCCCTGCGCCCGACCACCTTCCAGGCTCCGAATGCCTCCCTAGGGGCGCCTTATGTCCGGCCGACCCCTCTCCCGGAGCACACTCGCTAGTCTGGGGGTAACGTGC